ACGCAACACATGTCCCAACCACCACAATTGATGAAGTTTCACTACTTCATCTATTGACTTGCCTTCCCTACCTAGGACTCGTTTCCTAATGGCAGCATTGCTTACTCGGTTGTCCCAGGATACGCGAGCAATGCTTCGGAGACACCGATGATCGAAAACAAGTAACCTACGAATATCTTCTACTCTTACTGGCCATTTTTCACACATATATAGGAAGATGGAGCGAACTACTGCGCAGTACACTCGTCTTTTAGTCTATGCCATAAATAACGCAGGTTTGCAGAAATTAATCGAGCCTTCTGTATCCGTTGTGAGATTTCGTTAAATGATACTTATAACGACTACATCTTCATAACTTAAAAATCAATAAATGAAACTTGCATATATTGATGAAGGTAGGAATTTAATGAATGAAAGATGAATACTACACATATCAGGAAACATCTAAAGGCCTCAAAAACTAGGTTAATTCATTCGTCAGTATATATACATAAATGTAATTTGAACTTTGGTGTTCTTCAGGCATGAACTGTATATTGCTAGTACCATGGCTTCGAAGTATTTATTCATTAATGTCAATATGCAGTTGATAACGCTCCCTGAAGACCTTCAAAGTTTACTGTCAGTCATAAACACAGATAGAGGAAAGTTAGACATAAGGTTGGCAACGACATCCCGTAGAAAATTACCTTGCAAACAAACGTTAACCAGAACAAACAAATCAAAAAATTGAAACTCTGACATGTGAGTTGGAAGGCCTTCATTTAGAAGAGTTATGACGCCCTATGATGAAAGCTGAGTTTGAATGGAAGTCTCAAGGCCGATGCCCATTCTGACGGCCAAAGCAACCATTAGTTTAGGTACATGAAATGTTCATACAATATGGAAAACAAGGAGAGTGATTCAAGCTGTTGCAGAATTGAAAATGAAGGTGCAAACAACGACAGGTTTAAGGTCAATAACAACCAATCAAGAATGAGGTCAACAGAACAAGTTACGGGTCATACGTAGAGAATTCCGAATACGTCAATTCTGTTTCAATTTTGAGTTGATGATGTTGTTCAGAAGAACAATGAAAGCTCCACAACCAAAACATCCAGCTCAGAAAACAAAACTTTACCATAATTATCCACATGAACGACATATTTTCTCCACAATCGCAAAATCGTTGTGCAAACCTATGTGCCTTCAATGAACCGGTCATAGGTAGCAGTATACACAAAGTCACATGGATTTCACCGGATCACATTACTCAGAACCAAATCTATCATATCTGTATCGATAAAAAGTTCAGTAGGGACGATGGAGGACGCAAGAACCAAGAGAGGAGTTGATATAGCATCAGGTCACATCACTTGCTGGTTGCCAAGATAAAAGGGAAACCAAAGAAGCACCTGATGAATGAGTAGACATCACCAAAGTTTAATACGGCCTTTCTTCGGGATGCTAGAAAGCTCAAAAAATTCAAGTTAACCCTCGGCTACAAGTTCTAGGCTTTGCACGACATACTCAATGGAGAGGAAACAACCATGGAGAACGATTGGAAAGAGATCAAGGAGGCATTCACTACAACATGTAATGAGGTTCTGGGCCACAAGAACCACCATCATAAGAAATGGATCACTGATCATTCACTGGGTAATATTCAAGAAAGGAGGAACAAGAAGGCAGCAATCAATATCAACCGAACAAGAGCTGAAAAAGCCAAGGCACAAGCTGACTACACAGAAACAAACAAGCAGGTGAAAAGGAAAATCAGAGCTGATGAACGATAGCAGGAAAAGCTGCTAGAGAAGGAAAAATGAGACAACTATAAGATTCAACAAGGATGCTCCATGAAAACTATCGTGAATCAGTAAGACCAGTGAAAAACTAGGATGGCTAAGTAATCACCAACATTGAAGACTAACGGAACAGGTAGGTAGAGCAATTTGAAGAACTCTTGAACCGACCATCACCACTGAAACCACCCAACACTGAAGAGCACCCCATGGACCTCACAATTAGTGTTGGCCCACCAAAGGTTGAAGATATCAGTTTGGTCATCAGACAAATCAAGAGCGGCAACGCAACGGGACCATACAACATTCCAGCCGGAGACACTGAGAGCATACGTGGCATTAACCGCAAAGATACTCCATATTCCCTACAGCAAGATTTGGGAGGAAGGACGAGTACCATCAGACTGGAAAGAAGGATACCTGATCAAAATACCAAAGAAAGGCGATCTCAGCAAGTATGAGAACTACAGAGGCATCACTCTTCTCTCAATACCAGGCAAGGTCTTCAACAGGGTATTGTTAAACAAAATGGAGGACTCCGTAGACGCCCAACTTCGAGATCAACATAATGTATTTCGCAAGTATCAATCGTGTACTAACCAAATCGTGACACTACGGATCATTGTTGAACAACCATTTGAATGGAATTCACCACTCTACATCAACTTCATCGACTACGAGAAAGCGTTCGATAGCGTGGACAGGACAAAACTATGGAGGCTCCTTTCGACACCACGGTGTGCCGCAGAAGATAGTCAACATCATACAGAATTCTTATGATGGATTAAACTGTAAAATCATGCTCACAGGAGGGCTGACAGACATGTTCCAGGTGAAGACTGATGTCAGGCAAGGTCGCTCGCTCTCAACCTTTCTCGTTTTCCTGGCTATCGACCGGATTATGAAGACGTTAACAACTGGAAAGAAGCACTTCATATAGTAGACATCTAGAATGCAGCTTGACGATTTGTACTTCATAGATGATCTATCTCAAACGCAAAAGCAAATGCAATAGAAGACGACCAGTGTGGCAGGCGCTACAGCAGCAATAAGTCTCAAGATACACAACAAGAAAAGTAAGTTTCTCCGATACACCACAACACGCACAAACCAAATCACACTTGATAGAAAAGCTTTGGAGGATGTGCTAACCTTAACATATCTGGACAGAATCATGAATGACCACGGTGAATCTGATAGGGATATGGAGGCGCGAATCGGTAAAGCAAGGGCTGGATTTATAAAATTGAACAACATCTGGAACTCAAAACAACTATCAACAAATATCAGGACAGTTCTACTGTATGAAGTGGAAACTTGGAGAACTACCAAAGCCATCATCCAGAAGATACAACTGTTTATTAACAATTGTCTACGCAAAATACTTCGTATTCGTTGGACAGACACCATCAGCAACAACGAACTGTGGGAGAGAACAAACCAGATTCCAGTGGAATAGGAAATCAGAAAGAAGCGGTGGAAGTGGATAGGACACACACTACGAAAAGCACCTGATTGCGTCACAAGACAAGCCTTCATTTGTGACCCCTGAAGGCAAAAGGAAAAGAGGAAGGCCAAGGAACATATTACGCCGAGAAATAGAGAAAGATATGAGAGGAATGAACAAACATTGGACAGAACTAGAGAGGGAAGCCCAGGACAGAGTTGGTTGGAGAAAACTGGTCGTCGGCATCCACTCCTTGTGTGCTTTTTAATTCTAACCTTCTGAATTCCTCATAATCTCTACCTTTCTCTTTACAAATTTGTCTCACTGAATTATACTTTTCGAATCGTATCTTTGCCCCCTAATCTTCTTCATTACTGCTAATACTTCTACTATCGCGATCACTCTTGGATTTGAACTGACAGTTACATCTCTGTGCTGACATGGTATGGCAACCGGAACTGATGTACTTATGTACGAAGTTCTGCGTTGTATCTGTCTGTCTATCTGTCTTTCTGTCAAAATACTTCGGATCCATTGGCCCAAACATTAATATCAACAAGCTACTGTGTGAGAGAGAACAAATCAGATTCCAACAAACGAACAAATCAAGAAGAGGATAGGAAACACTGCGGAAAGCACCCAACTGCATCACAACACAAGCCATCAACTTAAAAACTTTCAAGATCAAATGAAAAGAGGAAAATTACCAACAAAAAAACACATTACTTCGAGAAATAGAGACAGACATGTCAGTCAGTCAGTCGGTCAGATGCAACGTAGAACTTCGTACATAAGTACATCAGTTCCTGTTGCCATACCACATTAGCACAGAGATGTAAGTGTCAATTCTAATTCAATAGTAGAAGAGGTAGTAAAGGTATTAGAAGTAATCGGAGAGAGGTTAGGATTAGAAGATATTATACAGACAGACATGAGACATGAATGAACAACAAACAATAGGACAGAATTAGAAAGGAACGCCAAGGACAGTGGTAAACTATAGAATGTTGTTGGTCAGCAGCTTCTACTCCATTGGGGTTAACAGGCATAAATAAGTAAAGTAAAGTAAAGTAAGTCTAAACAATAAGGAACATCTCTCTGTCTCTCTCTCTGTCTGTCTTTACCCCCAATGTTTGCAATTAACTGAGTCGATTCCATGCAGCACTATAACTATAACACACAAAACATTTTATTCAGTAATTATACTATTGTGGTGTGTGCTACTTATACGAACGATATAAGTAGTAAGTAGTATAAGAAGGGACGTGAACGAAGAAGAACTCTCACAGTCACTAGAAGAAAACGGAAAGCATTACATTGAACACTCTCTCTATTTGCACACCATCTTTGAGTCGTCGTGACTTCCAACGCTCCATCCTTCTTCTTCTTCAATTCCTGTTGTTGCTTCCTTTTACTTCCTCTGTTGGTACTACTCCATTTACTTCCTGGTTTTTGATCCATTTACTTTCCGTTTTCCTCTTCTGACCTCTGAGAGTTCTTCTTTCACGTCCCTTCTTATACTACTACTTATATCGTTCGTATAAGTAGTACACACCACACCATAATTTAAAAAAAGAAAAGCAGACAACTCCAAAAAATTTATCTATATATTCCTATCTAAAAATATGGTAATCAATGTATACAATACATTAAATAAATATGATTCATTTAAAGAGTTAGTTTCCTGCATATTTTTTTTTAAAAATTACATCAAAATACACTTATTTATCACTAGAAAAGAAAATGTTTGTTTGTTTGACTGTGATTTGGATTCAATTATATGAAGTACAATGTACTTTACGTACTGGTATTTTACAACCAATAGCAGAATAGATTAGCTCTAAACGTTTCGCAGCTAATTGATTAGCTTGTTCAGCACCATGTGTTAAACAATTCACCAGAGTGGATTGACCTTCGTCTGTATTCATTAAATCATGTATACGTTTTTGAATTGGATTCAATTCTTCAATTAGGGCATCGGCTATTTTTAGTTTTAAATCTTCTTTACTCCATTCATTGGTTATTGTAGGTAGAATTTCGTCAATTTTACGACCCTTGGTATTTATTTTTTGAAGCAACAAACAAAAATATTGAGAAATTAATTCATACTACTTAAATGTAATATAAGTAAGTTAAAAAATATATGATCAAAAATGTCAATTCCCGATGAGCAATACACTACGAACAAATAACTTATTAGTAGAACACTATTTATATTTTTTGAAATTAAAAGCTGTTAGGATATTCACCAAATATCCTAAGAATACTATTTTTAGAAGTACAATCCTATTGGTCGATTTCTATTGGCCGAAATTATGATCGTTCTAACTGTCCAAGTCAAATACTTCAATCTTGTCTCTTATATGGTCATCCGGACTGTCAATGTCACAGACGTTGATGCTCTTTCTTATTAGACCTTAATGTATAAATACGCACTATATGAAAGACTTAATGATTCGGATTCCGATTCAGTTTCTCCTGCCTACCTCTCTTCTGTATTCGACCCAATAAACAACTCCATCCCACGGTATTGCATTCTGATATCTAGGAGATTTGGAAATAGCATTTTGAGTCGTATTGGGATATTTGAATTGGACGCCGCTAGGACTGAATAGTGATACGTAGCAGCGTTACAACAAAAGCTTATTGAATGAATCAAGAATACAGCTGAGAACGGTCTGATAAAACCGAATGTTAATAATTCCTTCTCCTAACTGGGATAGTATATTTTAGTTGGACAGCAATAAACAAGGTGTAAATATTCGCAGTTTTACTGTTGGGAAGAAAATTGTCTGCCAAGTACTAACATGGTCAAAATCGGAAAGATAGTAGGCAGAGTAGTTTTTTAAGGTAAAAAGGGGTCTTCACGACAAGCAATGTGCTCACTGGTGACTGACTAGATTCATGAGAAAATTCTCGGAGTTCTAGGAAGAAGATGTGACAAGTAAAGTCCAACCTCACCAAGTGCAGGCAGTAGCTACCGAAGACAAATGGGTGAGGTCACGCAAAATCCCTAGAATGATCAAAGTTAGATATTAACACCGTTGGATGTCAGCTCAGTGACTCAAGGGTTAGGATTTCTCATGCAAGACCGAAGGTCCTGGGTTCGAATCCTACGAACAGCTAGAGTCGTGTACGTGTGCCATTGGTGAGCACCATGCCAGGACGAAACGTCCTTCCAATGATTGCAGGTTTCTAATGGTGGTCTAGCAATGATCGATTCATGATTTCAAATGTGTAAAAAAAGGATCTTCATAACTCTAAGTGAGAAATCCATAAAAACAGAGGAGTAATGTATATTGAAGATACAAGGATGAACCTCCTACGTGATATACTGATAAATAACTTTCAAATAAGCTCTCATAAGCACAGAAACAGAAGATTCAGGTGAGAGTGAGCTAAAAGGACTCAACCATCACGGGAAATGTGTCTCAAACACAATAACAAAATGCCAAGATTGTTAATGGACCTCAAGACGAAATCATACTCCCGAAAATTTCAAAAAAGGGAGGTGTTAAGATAACTTCCAATGAGCCGATAAGATTCCATCCAATCATAGCTCCATAGAATTTCTCGAATTTCGATTTGGATAAACAGTGATTAAACAATTATAATTATGAAATTATTTTCAAGCCGCACCAAAAGCTATCAATATACATGATTTTCCTGTGAATTTCGACATTTACAGTGATGACCATTTCTTCTGTTTCCCTCCGGCTTTTAATTTTCAACCTGAATGGGATGGTTCTACTCGTTCTAGTGCCAAACGTCGTATTCCATATTAAACGTATCAAATAGCAGGCCTAACACTTGTAGACAACCGGATCACGATATAGTCACTAGCAAATAGTATAACAAACATTTTCAATGGTGAATTTCTCACTGGTGTCATTGTTAAGTGCGGAGATACGGTTAATGTTTTACTGTTTCAAATAACATGCCATTTCATATCGGTCATATGTGATCGTAATATTGGTAGTAGTAGTAGTAGTAGTAGTGTGATGTGAGCTACTTATAAGTAGTATATGACGTGAGTAAAAAAACGTAATGTCTGGCAGCAGAAGATGAGGGAAGATCAAGAAAGGAAGAGTGGGAACACAATGGAATTTGTATGAAACGCATGAATAAGTGAAATGTCAGACAATGGATTGATGATGGGTTGAAGATATGCAAATTAACAACGGTTTACGATATGGTTTTCCTATTTTACTGAGTAACTCTGTAATTTTCGTTAAATACAATTCGTTTGCTCTCACCTGTGTTCTCCTTAACTACACTAGTAGTAGTAGTAGTATTATTATTAGACGTATAGCAACAATAAATTACACACTTTTAAACTTTGCAAAAAAAAACCATACCTGAACAGAAGCGAGAATTCTTAATAAATTTGATACACCTGGACGTTTCTCTGTATCATAACTGATTTTACGTATAGAGTCGGTTTCAGCACGTTTAATTTTCTTAAAAATACTATCTGGTGTATCAGTTAAATAAATAACACCAATCTCCGATTGATCTGATTTACTCATTTTTTTCAATGGATTCATTAAATTATTGATCTATTATTGAATATTCGGTGTTTTTGTTTTGTTAAATTGTAATCACAAAAAAGCGGGAAAAAAAAGAGGCAACATGTGAATGATGAATATATTAAACAAGTAAATAAGATTTTATATAAATAAAGATAGTCAATTGATTAACACAACACTTTAAGATGGTAGAGAAAATTAAGCAGCTCAAATGAATGATTGTAATAATACATGGGGTTTTGTACTCTGAGCTAGATGTTTTAATTCTGTAGACGTTCTAGTCAGCTTTGTCTGTGTGACACATCAATGAGCGGTTAAACACCATGACATTTCTTCCCCTATATCAAATAAAACTATGGAAATACATTCGATAGGATAAATGTTAAAATACTGAATAGAGGTAGTCAGTCAGTAAGTCAGATGCAACGTAGAACTTCGTATGTATGTACAATAGTTTAGGTTGCCATACCACATCAGCACACAGACGTAACTGTCAGTTCAAATCCAAGAATGATTGATAGCGATAGTAGAATTATTAGCAGCAATGAAGAAGATTAGGAAGCGAAGATATGATTCGAGAAGTATAATTCAGTAAGATAAATTCAGAAGGAGAAAGACAGAGATTATGAGGAATTCAGAAGGTTAGAATTTCATAGAACACAAAGATTGAATGCACCTGCGCCAATGCAAACGATTCTGAGCCATGTTATCCAAGGTCTCTAACCATTGGTGACTATCGTCTCGCCAACCCCAACCAGATAGCCTACATCTACCAACATCAATCAGTTCACTTTTCACCGACTTCATGGATTTCTGCCATGTTTTGGTCTGGCCACCACACTAACTAGAGGAAGAAGACTTAGTAAGACATAGAAAAAGTATTCCACAGACACCTTGTTAAATTGTCATCAAAAAAGGGAGGAAAAGAAGGGGAAGAAGAAGAAAACATGAGAATCATGAATGTATTAAACAAGTAAATAGAATTTTATATAAAGATAGTTGATTGATTAACACAATGCTTTAAGATGGTAGAGAAAATTAAGCAGCTCAATTGAATGATTGTAATGAGAAAACTGAGGCAGGCGCAGAAGATTGTATTATTATGCTAATTTACACTCTTAGTCAATTAAAAACGAAAACATTACATTGAACACTCTCTCTATTCGCACACCATCTTTGAGTCGTGACTTCCAACGCTCCATCCTTCTTCTTCCATTCCTGTTTTTTGCTTCCTTTACTTCCTCTATTGGTACTACTCCATTTACTTCCTGGTTTTTGATCCATTTGCTTTCCGTTTTCCTCTTCTGACCTCTGAGAGTTCTTCTTTCACGTCCCTTCTTATACTACTACTTATATCGTTCGTATAAGTAGCACACGCCACAGTCATAGGGTTTCGTACTCTGAGATGGATGTTTTGATTCTGTGCACAAACAGTACATAGGATAAAGTGGAGGTGCTCTTCAGCTTTGTCTGTGTGAACGTCAATACCAGAAGACAACTATGGACATACATCTGATTGGAATAATGTGGAAATACTGCATAGAAGGAGTCAGTCTGTCAGTCAGTGAGTCGGATGCAACATAGAACTTCATACGTAAGTACATCAATTCATGCTGCCATACCACATCAGCACACAGATATAATTGTCAATTCAAATCCAATAGTATAAGAGGTTGTAAAGGTATTAGAAGTAATCGGAGAGGTTAGGATTAGAAGATATTGTTCAAGAAGTATGATTCAGTGAGAAAAGTTTAGAAAGTCAAAACTGGAGGGGTTGAAGAATCCAGAAGATTAGGATTTGACAGAGCTCAAAGAATGGATGCACTTGTGCCATTGCAAACGATTTTGAGCCATGTCGTTCAAGGTCTATAACCATCGATTATTATCATCTCGCGGACACCAACCAGGTAGTCGACAATTACCGACATGTCTCAGTCCACTCGTCAATGACTTCAGGATTTCTGCCATGTTTTTTTATTTGGCCGCCCCTAACTTTCTTTCAACCTATTCATTCACTACAAAACATAACTCATCGTGGCAGTCGGTGGTTAGGCATACGTAACACATATCCAAACCACCTCAACTGATGAAGTTTCATTACTTCATCTATTGATCTGCCATTCTTACCTAGCACCCGTTTCTTAATAACAGCGTTGCTCACTCGGGTGTCCCAGGATATACGAGCAATGCTTCGAAGACACGTATGATCGAAAACCAGTAACCTACGAATATCTTCTACTCTTACTGGCCATGTTTCACAACCATAAAGTAAGACGGATTGAACTACTGCACAGTACACTAGTCCTTTAGTCAGCAAACGGATATCTCGCCTGCGCCATAAGTGACGCATGTTTCAAACACAAGTTGGCGAAAAGCAGTCAAGCATTCTGTATTCGTGCCATCAGAATTGATGAGACTCTCGAGATAAGTGAAGCGGTCGATACGCTCAACTACTTTATCGCCTATCATTAGTTCAGCGGTCGATACAAGCCAATCATGAAGCAACATTTTGCATTTCGAGGGAGGAAACCACATCCTGAACATGCTTGCATTGTTGCTTAGGATGGTCAGAAGATTCTGCATTTTGTCAGCGTCTTCACCAAGTAGGGCTACGTCATCGGCATATTCTATATGTCAATAGGCGAGCCTCCTGATAAAAGGTCTACTTCTGAAAATTCAGACGAGGATAAGGTTATATCTGGGAGCATGTCTATGATACTCAGCAGCTATCAACAAACACATTGACATTGATCCAATTTATCAATTGGTCGGAAAAATCATAGACAAACACAGGGTCAAGAAACAAAATAAAGTTGCAATGACAAGTTTTAGGTCAATAACGACAAATGTGAATCGAGGTCAACAGGACAAGCTACGAGTCACTTCTGTTTGAAGTTTGTGCTGATGATGTTGTTTTTGGAAGAACAATGAAAGCTCCATAACCAAAATATCCCAGCTCAGAGAATGAAACTCCACTACAATTAACATCACTGTCAAATGTCATGGTATGTGGATGAGATTGAGAGACGAGTTCACTTTCTCTATCTCTCTTGCCAAATGCTCTCATAAGGTCATGTGTGTATAGCTATTGTCAAACGGAGACTTACTCAATGCATTCTCGCATCAGGAATGTTTTTTACAAAGGTAAGAGGATGATGAAAACTGAATATCTTGCCAAGGCAAAAACCAGAGTTAGTGTGTAACACATGGTGTATGACTCTATTGTTAGTCATCGGTTACTACTATATGACAGTGTCTCTTTTAACGTTGATCCACTGCCTCGTCGAATAGATCTATAAGTTAAGAGCTTTGAGAAAGAGAGAGGGAATAAGAGTCCTCTTTAGAAAGCCACCTACTACGGATTATACACTCAAGTAGTATTCCAGCCTAAACACAAACTCATTTGATTTTTGTGACGTATAAATATTTCGACGAACTTTCGTAGTCTCATAATTAATGTGTTTCAATGTCATAAATAATAACTTCTTTTATAGAATATTAAGAATTGATTTATCATATGAGATTTGTTTGTTATGTCAAGACAGTTCTACTGTATGGAGCGGAAACTTGGAGAACCACGAAAGCCATCATCCGGAAGATACAAGTATTCATTAACAGCTGTCTACGCAAAATACTTCGGATTCGTTGGCCAGACACCATTAGCAACAACGTACTGTGGGAGAGAACAAACCAGACTCCAGTGGAGGAGGAAATCAGGAAGAAGAGGTGGAAGTGGATAGGACACACACTGCGGAAAGCACCTAACTGCGTCACGAGACAAGCCCTAACATGGAACCCTCAAGGCAAAAGGAAAAGAGGAAGGCCAAGGAACACATTACGCCGAAAAATAAAGAAAGTTATGAGAGGAATGAACAAACATTGGATAGAACTGGAGAGGGAAGCCCAGGACAGAGTTGGTTGGAGAAAACTGGTGGGCGGCCTATGCTCCATTGGGGGTAACAGGCGTAAGTAAGTAAGTAATTTGTTCGTTATACTACTGATCTATAACATACATCTGATCGATCTAAGGACAACTCAAATACTTCATAAAACACAATACCGTTTCACAATTACTTGAATTATTGATCCGGTCTTATTTGAATAAAACAACTTATTTGATCAATGAACCTGTTTAAAATAAGTTTGTTTTAACTACGTCGTACTGCTGTAAAGGTGCTTACCAATTCACTTGCTCCAACAGAGCTAGGTATTTAGGTTGTTCATCATTGAGGTCACTTGTTCTTAGCATTCAAGAGAATCTGATGCAGTACATAAGTCAATTGTGTGTCATCGATTACGTAACATGTAGGAAGAGACACAGGATGTGCAACTTCAGACTCATCATTCAATTACATCTACAAATTCTTATCAAAGATACCAAGAAATGTTTTAGCAAATATCATTATTTATTAACGTTATGATGAGCGGAGTCCTAGATTTGAACATGATACGATACGTGCTGACCCTACACCTTAACTAAATGGTTACTTGAGCGACAAGTCAAGAGTGAAAGTAAAGTATACAAATACTCGTCTATACAAAACATATCTCATCAACTTAAAGAATAAATCCATTATTTGACCAATGATATGTATCCGTCCTCTGAGGACATTTCCGACTGTTATTATGTGTGTGACCTTTTTGATTTGCCTACAATCTGATAGACTCACAAGTTACTCTGTTACATATATACTATTAAACTACATTGGAAACGAATTGATTGTGTGAAGAATACTTTCACGGGATAGATTATTTTGCAATTTACTGAGTGTGAATAATTGAACTGGTAGCGTCCCGACCGAAGCTGCTACCTTGACGTGTTAGTGGTCGGGCTTGCCTTTCGTGATGACCCAACTGAGCTATATTGGCTGGAACATATATTCCTGAAGGTTCTACCATGCCAGGCAGGTCGATTGCAGAACGATGAGACTAAAAGCAGCTACCCAAGGTCTGAGGGCGAAGTCGTACTGCTGACTGCAGAGGGGTGTGACAGCAGTAAGGTGTTTCCCTCGAACAACCAGCATCTGCAGCGATGCTGCCTTCTCACAAGGAAGGAAGGGTTAGAAAAGGTCGACCCTAAAAATGTCACACCTCACCCTACCTCACGGATTTCCGTCTCCGGCGGTAAGGGTGCCCACTAAGGGCTTTCAAGAGTGGAGCTAACACTCAAAAAACTTCTCATAAAAAGGCCGTGCGTGACCGGCCTCAAGCAGTTGTCCCTTGGACTCTGCGGTCACGCACCCAGGTCTCCAAGACCAAAACTAATCTATCTTCCTGTTCAGGTCCCTCAAGAATCAACCTTCCACGGTGTGGGCAGCCGGGAAGTGACAACCGCCCTCATACTTGTAACAGCACGTGAGACCAAATTGGTCAAAATCAAATCCTCCCTACACCCCCTACTATCTCTCTTAACTCCACGACTAACTCTTCTCACATTCATTTATCACAGTGCACAGCTAATGCAAACAATGCAGGTGCGCGAAACGTCGTTCCTGGTCTCCTTAAACACCGCTCTAGACTACATGTTGGAGCATTTAATGTACGGACATTGTGTCAAATAGGGCAACAGGCTTAATTAGCTAGGACTTTAGAATCTCGTACCATCGATGTGTGCTGCGTCTCGAAAACGCGCATACAGGATTCGAACCCTATTCTTCTTCATTACCATTAATACCTCTACTATCTTTATCACTATGGGATTTGATTTGACATTTGCGTCTATGTGCTAATATGGTGGTATGGCAACATGAACTTATGTACATACGTACGAAGTTCTACGTTGCAACTGACTGACTGACTGACTGACTGAACTGGTAGCGTAAGGTGTGATTGGTGAATGAACTCAACGAAAAATTAGTATTCAACAATGACCCACTACCATGTTGACACTCTCTCATTAACTTTGTATGAGGAGTATGTTTGACTTATTATTTATCGGTTATAATCATAAATGTTAGTAAATACCGTTAGTTGATGGACATTGACACTGTTGGATACCGGAACAATCTGGTGTTAGGATATTCATCCAATATCCTAAGAGAATTATTGGTCAAATCCTATTGGTCGATTTCTGTTGGTCAAAATTATGGTCGTTTTAATTCTCAAAGTCAAATACTTCAATGTTGTCTCTTATTGGTCATCCGGACAGCCAATGTCATTTCAAATGTTACTTCCTATTGGTCGTCTTAACTGTCAATGCCACAGAATTCGATGCTGTTTCCTATTCGACCAAAATGTATAAATACGCATTATCTGTAACACTTTATGACCACGACCAGGACCAGGGCTTGGTCCCGGATCCCTAGTCCGGGATCCTGATTCTCTTCTGGATTCGAACCTCGTACTTTCTGGATGCTTGTAGAATACATGTTCTACTTCATATCACGTCTTCTTATTTGAACTAAATATGGGGGTTGTAATAATCGGATTTGAGTAACATGTCGTGTCACCGGATCCTCGCTCTCGTTTTCCGACTAGGTAAACTCGTAATAGTTCAAGTATATCAAGTTGACGTGTTTACGTGCAGGCGTAACATCTGGTCCAGAGGTTAGGGGGTTCGCGCGCAAGATCGAAGGTGCTGGTGTTCGAGTCCTATACGGGTCGCAGGAGTCATGGATGTGCATTGCTCGTTGATGAGTCTCATACACTAGGACGAAACGGCCGTTCACTGCTTCTAGGTTTCTAGTGGTGGTTTAATAATAATTCATTCCGGATTTCAGCTTTGACCAAGCAAAGACCCTGTTGTTCCCCAATCTTCAAGGATTTAATGTTTACAAAAACGAAATCAACGAATAGATCATTTTTTTAAAAAAAATCACACTTACTTTAGGTGTATCAAAAATAACACTTTTCGGTATATGTAAAATTGATGATAAAGATGGCCATTTATATACAATTGAACGAACCAGATCACGTGTCAGTTCAATATGAGCTATTTGATCAGCTCCAATAGGTACGGCATGTGCACCATAAAGTAAAATATCAGCAGCTTGTAATGTAGGATAAGTAAATAGACCAACTGTAGCCGAATCAGAAGTACTACTTATGGATAATTTGTCAGTAGTATTATTAGCAGTAGTGGCAGTAGTTGTTGTTGTAGCAGTATTATTGGCAACAGATGATTCAGGTACTGAATTATAATATCCACATTTATCTCTCCATTGTGGTAAATGAGCTAATCTCTGGATTAGAACAAGAAGAATAAGAAGAAGATGGCGATATACAACGGAGGAACACTGAAATAGACAGACAGAGATACAACGCAGAACTTCGTACGTAAGTACATCAGTTCAGGTTGCCATACCATGTCAGAACAGAGACACAATTGTCAATTCAAAACCAAGAGTGATAGCGATAGTAGAAGTATTAACAGTAATGGAGAAGATTAGGGAGCGAAGATATGATTAGAGAAGTATAATTCAGTGAGATAAATTTAGAAAGAGAAAAATAGAGATGATGAGGAATTCAGAAGGTTAGAATTAAAAAGCACACAAAGAGTGGACGCACCTGTGCCATTGCAAACGATTCTGAGCCATGTCGTTCAAGGTCTATAACCATCGGTGACTTTCGTCTCACGGACCGCAACCAGGTAGCCTACATCTACCAACAGGACTCAGTCCACTTGTCAGTGACTTCATGGATTTCTGCCATGTTTTGGTATGGCCGCCCCTAGCTTTCTTGCAACCTACTCCTACACCACTAAACATAGCTCTTCACGGTAGTCGGGGGTCGGGCATACGTAACACATGCCCCAACCACCTCAACTGATGAAGTTTCAATGCTTCATCTATTGATTTACGATCCTTACCTAGGACTCGTTTCTTAACAACAGCATTGCTTACTCGGTCGTTCCAGAATACACGAGCAATGCTTCGGAGACATCTATTATCGAATACTAGTAACCTACGAATGTCATCTACTCTTAATGTCCATGTTTCGCATCCATATAGTAGGACAGAACGAACTGCTGCACAGTACACTCGTCATTTAGTCAGCAAACGGATATCTCACCTGCGCCATAAGTGACGCAACTTGGCAAAAGCCAATCGAAACTTCTGTATCCGAGCTCAGATTTCGTCACAATCCAGGCCATCAGCACTGATGAGACTCCCAAGATAAGTGAAGCGGTCTACACGTTCGACTACTTCACTCCCTATCACTAGTTCAGGTGCCGATGCAAGTCAATCTTGAAGCAACATTTTACATTTCGAGGAGGAAAACCTCATCCCGAACATGCTTGCATTGTTGCTCAGGGTGTTCAGAAGACTCTGCATTTTGTCAGCGTCTTCACCAAGTAGGACTATGTCATAGGCATATTCTAAGTCGATAAGCGAGCCTCCTGGTAAAAGGTCTACTCCTGAAAATTCAGACAAGGATAAGGTTATATCTAGGAGCATGTCTATGATAAAATTAAACAAGAATGGAGAAAGTGGACATCCCTGACGGACACTGAAACAATTATTAGACAGTGATTAGCCAATCAAAAATGAGTCAGATAAGGGAATTATTTCATACTAGTTAGTCAGTCAGTCAGCTACGACATACAACTACGTACGTAAGTACATCAGTTCAAATTGTCATACCAACATATTAGCAGTAATGGAGAGGATAACGGATTGAAACTATCACTGGAGAAGTATAACCCAGTGAAATAAATTTCAAAAAAGGGAAGAAAACCGTCATGAGGAATTCAAAAGATTAGAATTTGAGCCAACGCAATGAATGAATGCACCTGCGCCATTGCAAACGATTTGAAGCCATGTCATTCAACGTCTCTAACCATCGGTTACTATTGTCTCGCGGACAACAAACAAGTAGTCGAGATTTACTAACATGGCTAAGTCCAGTTGTTAGTGGCTTCATGGATTTATGCCACGTTTTAGTTTGGCCGCGCCTAGCTTTCTTTCAACTTACGTACGAAGTTCTACGTTGCATCTGACTGACTGACTGAGCTTTCTTTCAGATTAGATGAGATTTTATTGATCAGTCGGATATCACGATATATTTACATAATTTAAAAACAAAATTTAGAGCGGAGTTAAGTAATACGAACGATTATATTTCAAGCATCAAGTTATATGTTTGAATTCCGTTTTGCCTTATTTAGTTATGAGCATGTTAATTGAACTATTGTGACTGATTTGAACAGTACTCTAAATTTTTATTCATAATAGCGATAATGTACAGTGGGTGATATTTAGAAGAGTATAATATTTTCCAAAGTATCAGAAAGATCACTTAGATGAGTACCAATGAAAAAAATATTTGGCTGATCCTATAAAATGTTGATGTTGATATGCTAGCCGACTGATATGCTTGAAAGCGATTACGAGTTTATCTTATTCGGTAAACGGAGCGAAGAGTAATGACTCAGTGACACGATAGGCTATTCTGATCCCATTTTTCCAAGCTCTGCTAATTAAAGCAAGAAGTCTTGATACGGCGTAGAAAGTGTATTGTACAAGTACCCAGAAAATACGAGATTGACGAGCACACAACATGAGCTTATTTATACCATTAATAGAGACGCCCCTTAGGAGAGCCACAAAATAGCGTACTAAAATAGCCCGTCAACTAATGATAGTCAAGGATTTTCTGAGTGTGAAGGTCAACTAAGCGTCTCTGGTGCGAAACCATGGAAATTCAAAATTAGGACCTATATCAAGTGAGTTCTAGGGATCTCACGCTCCCAACAGATGTACACTTCAAGGCTCCATCATAGCCCTCCTTTGTTATGAAAAGATTTCTGCAAGAAGTAGGCGTTTCAAGATGTTGCTTAGAATGACAATAGTTTTAATGACTAACTTCAATCAATCCAAAGTCTGTGGCGGATAACTGTCTCCTGCCCGACATGTAATGGACTCCACTGGTCGGGAATTCTGATAAGAACTCCAGGAATACGTCATGAAGATAGTCACTAGTCAACACATCTGTATCGGATGGGAGACAGTTTTATCTACCACAAGCGATGGATGAAGGTTGAGTAATATCACAGATTAGTTGGAGTTAGACATTAACCCTATTGGATGCCGACTCAATGGTCTAGAGGCCGAGCGTTGGCGCGCAAAGTCAGTCTCCAAAAAGCACTTTCATTAAAAAACACATTCTGTTCATATAACTTGACCTCTGAAAAGGAGAGGTAATTGAAATAGTTTCGTTACTTTGTGGTATTACTATTCTACTGATAAAAAGATAGAACAGTCAGTCAGTCAGTCAGTTGCAACGTAGAACTTCGTACGTGTGTACATAAGTTTATGTTGCCATACCACATTAGCACAGATAGAACAGTTTTCAAGTAAAAACGTGAGCAATTATAATTTTAATTTTAAAATGATGTTCATTAAAATTCCAACAGCTTTTTATTCGAAAACATTGGATTCATTTGTTAAACTACTTAAAACAATATAATCTTATTAATTTTTGACTTACAAGGAAATGGCTTTCATTATAACGGTATGAAGTATTGAAACTTCATCAGTTGAGGTGGTTGGGACATGTGTTACATATGCCTAACCGCCGACTGCCTCGATGAGCGATGTTTCGCGGTGTAGGGGTAAGCTAGAAAAAAACTAGGGGCAGCCAGACCAAAACATGACAGAAATCCATGAAGTCACTGACTAGTGGACTGAGTTATGTTGGTAGATGCAGACTACCTGGTTGGGGTCCGCGAGACGAAAGTCACCAATGGTTAGAGACCCTAAATAACAACATGGCTCAAAACCGTTTGCAATGGCGCCGGTGCATTTATTCTTTGTGTTCTCTCAAATCCTAACCTTCTGGGTTCTTCAACAACTCTAGTTTTGACTTTCTAAACTTTTCTCATTAAATCATACTTCTTGAATAATATTTTCTAATCCTAACCTCTCCGACTACTTTTAATACCCTTACTAACCCTTCTACTATTGGATCTGAATTGACAATTACATCTCTGTTTTGATGTGGTATGGCGACATGAACTGATGTACTTACGTACGAAGTTCTACGTTGCATCTGACTGACTGACTGACTGATGGTATGACAACCTGAACTGATGTCATTCAAGGTTTCTTACCATCGGTTGCTATCATCTTAGGGACCCCAACCAGAGAGTCTACACTTACCAACATAGTTCAATCCAGTTGTCAGTGACTTCAATGACTTGTGCCATGTTTTTTGGTCTGGCCATCCCTAGCTTTCTTCCAGTCATTCAAGCAAAATGCGACACACTCATAAACTGTTTTCTAAAAGGAAATAATCCCAAACTTATAGAACATTAAAACATGATAAATATGAATATTTATTTAAAACATACAAATTCTTTCAAAATACTCTTACCAGAATTGAACAAACTGTCGATAAAATCCACGCCAGTTCAGTATGTCCAGGTACAGAAGATTGAAGAAATATAATTTGTTTTAAAGAATTCCCTTCAAATCCACATGCAAGTAAAGTAGCTACAAGTTCAAGTATACCTAATTCCAGATCAGTACAATTTTTTGATGTAAGAGCATGTAAATCAGCGATCAACATAAAAAATTTTGATATATCATTATTACGACTATAGGCAATGCATGGTTTTATTACACCAAGATAATTTCCAAGATGAGGTTTACCACTTGGTTGAATCCCAGTAACAGCAAAAATATTCCGTCTATTTAAAAATGCATAATGAGAATGTATAGGATGAAGTGGATTGATATGGTGATAAATAGGCCTTACATAATTTTTTAAATTAAGGCACTGATTAAACATTTAAAATGTATTTCAATTTCAGTTTAAATTGAAAATGTTTGTAAATACACTGGCGATTGATACATTTCACATGTTGATTTTCTAACAACTTTGTATGACCACATTGGATAAAGGTGTGGTAGATATATAATCAGAAGGTATTAAATCTAAATTTTTAAAAAAAAGTACGAAATGTTTATCCAAATAGACAGTAGTCAACAAATAATAAATATATAAGCATGTTACAAAACTATTATCTACCTGCAAGAGGATTGATTTGATCGCTAATCTTATACGGTGTAGCGAAATATGTGCTACACCTAACCATAGATAATAAGTCAATCAGTTAGTCAGTTACAACGTAGAATTTCGTACGTACGTACGTACGTACATAAGTTCAGGTTGCCATACCGCATAAGCACACAGAGCCGCAACTTTCAGTTCAAATTCCTTAGTGGTAGAGGTAGTCGAAGTATTAGCAGTAATAGTCAGTCAGTCAGTCAAATGCAACGTAGAACTTCGTACGTAAGTACATCAGTTCATGTTGCCATACCACATCAGCACACAGAGATGTGAGAAGGCAACATCGCTGCAGATGCTGGTTGTCCGAGGGAAACACCTTACTACTGCTGTCACACCACTCCATCACAGTCAGCAGTACGACTTCGCCCTCAGACCTTGGGTAGCTGCTTTTAGTCTCGTCGTTCTCCAATCGACCAGCCTGGCGTGGTAGGACCTGCAGGAACATATGTTCCAACCAGTATAGTTCGGTTGGGTCATCACGATAGGCAAGCCCGACCACCACGTCAAGGTAGCAGCTACGGTCGGGAGTAGCAGCTATGGTCGGGTTAGCAGTAATAGAGAAGATTAAAGTTCGAAGTATAATTCAGTGAGATTTCTTCCAATATGTTCCGACTAGCCGTAAACCTAGACCGGAGAGATATGAGTCGATTTAATGGACCATTTATTCATATTGCTCATTACTCCATGCAATTTCTCAACATTCAAACGCTTCATAGTTGAGCATACGCATTCATTACATAATTTCCTGATCTGCAGTTGGTTTGCATTCCGTTTCAATCGAACAACGACCGGTTTGACTAGGAAACAGTCTTGATTTCATTTATGATTGGAAAATTTTACGAGCTCAAAGCCTTGCTCTCATGTTCACTGTACACGCTATTCATATTGAAGGTTGTTGGACATGCTACAACCAGATATTGTCGCACTTTAGTACACCTTGATTCACTGCATTTTTTCCTTGTTATACAATCACCTGACTCTCAAATATCGCCACTAAACACGTGGAACTATACCGAAACAACAATCTCAGTCAGTTAGTCAGTTACAACGCAGAACGAGAAGTATAACCCGGTGAAATAAATTCAAAAAATCGAAAAACGTCATGAGGAATTCACAGGACTAGAATTTGAGAGAACACAAGCGATGGATGCATCTGCATTATTGCAAACGATTTTGAGCCATCTCATTCAAAATCTCTAACCATCAGTTACTATTATCTTGCTGATCCCAACCAAGTAGTCTATATCTACCAGTTGTTATTGACTTTATGGATTTGTGTCATGTTTAGGTCTGACCATCCCTAGATTTCTTTCAGCCTATCACCCCTATATCAGACAACATCTCTCGTCGAGTTGGTCAGTGGTTGGGCAATACCAAACACATGTCGCAACCACCTCAACTGATGAAAATTCACACATCGGTGGACAATATTACAACAATCTTGATTTGAGTAGTCCAGAACATTTGACGAAGTGGTTAGCTACTTATAAATGTACCCCAAAATACTTAGACATAGTCTTACAAACTACCAAACTTATCAGCTTGAAATCCTATTGAATATCACTTTTAAGCGGACTAATACTGTTTGTGTATTCTTAAGTCAAATAAAATATAGATATAAAAGTGACGTGTATATATGTATTCTGCAACAGCTCTAAACTTTCTAACTCATATACATACTTATTTCTACCATGCTAACACTAAAGTAGACATTTTAAATAATCAGATTACAGCCAACAATCAATCCAACGTTCGGGAAAGTAAGTCAGTTGCAACGTAAGAACTTCGTACGTCTATGTACATCAGTTCATGTTGCCATAGCACCACATTAGCACAGAGACGCAAATGTCAAATCAAATCACATAGTGATAAAGATAGTAGAGGTATTAATGGTAATGAAGAAGACTAGGGTTTGAAGATATTATTCAAGAAGTATAATTCAGTGAGATAAGGTTAGAAAGACAAAGGTAGAGGTGCTGACGAATCCAGAAGATTAGGATTTGAGAGAGCACAATGAATGGATGCACTTGCGCTATTACAAACGATATTGAGCCATGTCGTTCAAGGTCTCTAACATTGGTGACGTTCGGGAAAGGTATAAACTAAACAGCAGACGAAAATTCTCAGTAAGCTGTATCACTTGAAGTTATCAAGACAGAAAAGTTGAACGAAAAATATGAGTGTGTTTGAGTTGCTAGATTTTTCTTTCAAACTACTTGGTAAATATGATAATCTCAATCACTAAACTAAGTTTAATGTATTCTTTACACAAAGTCATAGATTATAAAAACTTGAAAGTTACATACAGTAACAAACAACCTCCAGAATAATTACAAAGTCACTTCTACTAAAGGCTTTCGAATCTTATGGGAAATTCGAGACATAGATTAGATGCTCAAAAGATAATACAAGAAATATATTGGATCCCATTTAGATAGTAAGATTCAAGCAGCAAGTATTTTCTTCAAATATGAAGCCGATATATTAGAACAGGTTTAGCCAGGACCAACTAAGATGAAAAGCTTGCCAGTAATTACACTGCCTCTACCACTATGGAATTTGAATTGACTAATGCAGCTCTGTTAATGTGATACGGGAACTTGAACTGATGATTGACTGAGTGATACTTTTGGACAAATCGCTTTATGTCACTCGACCAGGATACACTAAATGTCAATTTGAGAACAATGAAAATGATATTCTTATAAGCGTAAGGTTTACAATTTTCAAATTCCAAACAATACAGTTTCGATATGATTAATAGGTATAAACACACCAAATTATTTATCATAGTAAACGAAAAATGTTGAAACTGAGAAGTGTAAGTCGTTCCTCGGTTGACTTTATTCTAGGAGTTAAAAGTAACTGGGTTAAAAAGTCAGTTTTACGACGAACAGACACCAATTACAATGCACCAATGTTTTAAGTCAGTACAGAGGAACCTCGTGAAAAATCCAAAAGTAATGACGTTTATTCTGTCAAAAGACATCTTCGCTCATACACAAAAACACTCAATAAGAAATAACCGTATCAACCGCAGTGTGTCAAGAATAGGTTTTTTGTTTAACCTAAATAGGAGATCATATTCGCTTTGAGATGACATAACGGATATGTATGTCAATTTAAAATACCTTTAGGAACCTGATTCAAGGATAAAGTACTTAGTTTTCCATAAAATATGAGGAATTTAATCATCCTTGCTAGGTCTTACAATAACTCATTCTGAGGATGACATCTCGAATCTTAATTATATGCCAGCCCCAAGAAAGAGTGACCATACAGTTCTAGTATTTGATGTCTATATCGATATCAACAACGAGCTGAGCTCAGATCAAACACAATTTTTGGAAGGCAAATATATAAAAGACACCATACACATTGTATACAATATTTTTTCGTCCTAAATTTTAGTACTGCATACAGTCCTCCAGCCCCAGGACTAGAGGCGACTTAACTACAATTTTTAAATTACGTAATGACAAACTCGCATCTGACACGCCCTCATTTTCCTCACCTTTTAATAAAAACAATTTACAGAGGACAAGTAAAAATGTTCTCAAGCGTAGAATAAATTATTTATCAGTTGAGTACCGACTTTCTCATCGAAACATCAACGAACAGAACTCGTAAGATCAACACGTGATTGAAGCTCCATCTGTCGATGCACTCGCGAAAGAGTGGACCGACTGAGAAATAAAAATTGTTATTACTAATAGTAATCATAATCATACGCACATTAAATATTTATATTCAAGTCTTTTAATAGATACTAATTGTTGAAAAAAAACAAGTATGAAGACAGTGAACAAAATTTCGAAATGTTAAAATATTTAAGGCGGTTTTTAAAGAATACAAATAGATTTCTACTGCTGATGGACACGTCAAATAAGCAACTCAAAAAAGCATAAGGCATTACAAGTAGCGGACACGTTAAAGAACGCTCCCAAAATTTCAAGCAGTATCTCATCCAATATCCAATATCTTTTTCACGAGCTAGTGTAAACCAATTTGATTTCTTCGCGCTCGATTCTTGTTCTTTCGGTACGGTTCCAGGTGTTCGGTAATGTCCAATGGATGGAGGTCTAGCCACTCGACTGTCTAATTCTAGTCAGTTGGCAGTTGGTTGTGAGTTTGTATGTCTCGGGATTTGAATGAAACGTTTGTTTCAGGGCAGTAGGGTTTCTGGATACTAGCAGCCGTCACTTTACCAAACCGGAGATCAGTTAGTTGCAATGTGGAGAGTAATAAGGGTAATAAGGGTAAATTAAAATGATAATATGAGTAAAATTTCAGAACTGAGTAATATATAGATGAATTTAGTTTATTAATTGGTAGTGAAGATTGTGAGAGAGGACCGAAGTGTAAGCAAGTGAGAGGAATAGGCGAGTTAAATTAATTAAGTGATCTGAGGAGATGGCAATGGTAACAACTAGCAGGTCTCAAGATATGCATCAGGCACAGCTTGTCCAAGAGGGAGATGATAGTCCGCATGTGAGTACGTGATTATCAAGTCTCTTCTTAAAGCAGTCCACTGAGGGGGCTGTAACTACCTCGGCTGGGAGAGCATTCCAAGTTGCGACGACTCGCAATGAGAAAAAGTGTGCACGAACCTGAGTGTTTGCTCTTTGATGTGCAATCTTTTGAGGATTGCCTCGAGGGGAGTGGTGGTGATGCATCGGTAAGATGCTCACATTGGGATGGTTGGGCGTGTTTAATATGGTGTACGCCATAATCAGGTCACCTCTGATTCTCCTATAGCTCAGTGGGAATAATCCCAAGAGCTGGAGTCTATCGTCGTACGGTTTATTTTTCAGCCCTATCACCCATTTGGTTGCTCGTCTCTGCACTCGATCCAAGAGATTAA